AACAGCATCATCATCATATGTGCCGAATCCCGTACAAGAGTTTCGCCCGAACGCCCCCCCCCCCTCGTGGAGCCATGTGGCACACAAGAAATACTATGGACCCGCGCTCCCGAGGCCGCGATCCTTCCTAGAAACAAACACTTCCGCGCTCGCAAGGCCACGACCCACTGAAACAGTATAGGGAAGCGGGCTTCCAGGGCATACTACATGCTTCCCATGGGAGTAGCCTCTGCACCACACCACTATATGCCAAAATGACTTCAAGACCGCTCCTGTTCTAGATGGCCTCCAAGATGGCGCAATATTGCCCAAGTGGTGGTACCAAGAAGATGGCCACTTTGAGCCCAAGATGGGGGGGTCGAACGAAGTAGCAAAAAAGAAGTAATGTACATGTGCAGTCTTGCTTCTCTTTACGGTTGGAGGGGGGAGGAGGGGAGTAGTTGAAGTTTGGAGTAGGTGGAAGGAGCATGAGCAGGCATGAGAAGCACGGAGGAGGGAAGGGAAGACAGAGGCGTGGGGGAGGGGACAGGTGGGTGGAAGGAATGAGGAAAGCAAGAATGTAAACTTACGTTCTCGCTCTTGCCTGTGATTGGAGGGCGGAGTAAGGAGGCCATCTCGGAGCTGTCCCTCACCATCTTCTTCCCTCCTCTTGCTCTCTCCCTTCTCCTCCTCCTCCTCCTCGTCATCCTCACTCACCCTTACTGCTACTCGTCAAGGTTTCGGCGAAAACGAAAGCATGGGAAGAAGGAAGGAACGCAGACAGCGGGTGTCCCTAGTGTCTGTGTGGTGCACTCTCAGGGGCCCAATAGCAATTTAATACAACATGTGAGCCCGCACGGGGGGTCAAGTTGAAGGTTCAAGTTGAAGGTTCAAGTTGAAGGTTGCCTTGCCACTTGTCTTGGATGGGTTGACCAATGCAGTAAATGAATTACTTAATTCGTCGGAGGTTGAATTGGTCGGAGGTCTAGTGGATTCCTTGATGGACGAATCACTGCCTCACTGCATTACTGCATCGTTGACTTACTGGGTTGTTCAAATACTGAAACACAAGATCACCGTGCAATTAAATTACTGAGTTAACTCAATCCGGAAAGTCACACTAAGCCGCAAAGAAAAGCAATACTGTAAAGATACATTGTTGTGTTTGTACTCCCCCCTTAACTCTTGTCGCTAGTTCCACGCATCGCTCCTCGTTGCCTCCTGCCAATTTCTCCCTCTCCTGTTGCTTCCCTCATCCTTACTCCTCCTCCCTCGAACCGCAGAGAAAAACAAAAATGTAAGATTACATTATTGCGTTCATCCTCACCCCTTTCGCCCACCAGGCGCACCAGGCGCTCCAAGCACACCATTCACACCAGGCACACCAGTGCACACCAGGGAACACCAAGCACACCAGGGCACACCACCGGGCACACCAGGCATATCACGCACACCCAAGCATACCCAAGCATTCCAGGCACACCAATACGCCAGGCACATTGGCGCGCCGCGGGCACGCAACGCCACTCCAGCGCTGTGGAGGAGGAAAACTTGCGTTTCTTGCTTAAGAAGATCACAAATTTTTCCTCCAACCTCGTCTGCCGAATACGCCCCACCAGCACACGGAAAACACACAGACCCTTCGTACAAATCGCGTGCATGTCTCCGCGTGTGCGTGTGTGTCTGTGCGTTTGTGTGCCTGGTGCGCTGGTGGTGTGCCCGCGGCGTGCCGCCCGTGCGTCGTGAGCCGCGCTTACGTTTCCACCAGTCAAGGCCTGGTAAAACTAACAGCCTCGCAAAGCGAAGCGGATACCTTAAACCCATGGGCGTGACAAGTGGTTTCGCGGCGTCAATGTGCAGACGCCTCAAAAACACATTTTTGAAAATTTGCGAGCGTTTCCTGCTTCAAAAAAAAGAAGAATCTGCGAAACTGATAATACCAAATCAATACTGGGAATTTGTCCAGAATGTTGTGCGAACTCCCCCCTTCCCGACCTTTCCTTGTCACTCCTCACAATACCCCTCATCATCATGCTGCTCCTCCTCCTCCATATTCTGCCGAAAAAGTGGGTTGATTCCCGCCTCCCGGATCAATCTCCGGGAGGGCCTCAAGGGCGAGACAGGGTCAGTCCCACTGCCTCCGGAAATCAAAACACCCTTTCGGCAAAACCCCTCCCCAATCTACCGCAGTCCCAACGGGCAAGTGGCGTGTGAAGACATTAACAAGCCAGCCTGGGAATATTTGAATATTACAAGCTACAACATAGAAGTACCCAGGTAGAGCAAAAACGAAGCGCGCACCCCTAGCATAAAACTGTGCTACCACCAAACCGAAGCGGCTCGATTTAAGAATTCGAGACGCCCTTAAATATGAGACCAAGAAAACGAGACACCTTTTGTTTGCGAGACGCCCCAGAAAAAGAAACCATACTCAAAACATAACTGTCTTGGGCGACATCGCGGGATGAGTGATTCCGGCGACGACGCTCGCCCAATGTGACACAACATATGAGGAACAAAACGCGTCTCAAATGCAACCTCCTTGTTGCACCATACCGAGCACTCCATGCCCCTGGACCCCTTTTGCAAAGCAGGGAGCAACAGAACACGGGTGGCACTGCATATGAGGAATAAAACGCGTCTCAAATGCAACCTCATTGTTGCACCATGCCGAGGAGGTTGCATTTGAGACGCGTTTTATTCCTCATATGCAGGGCCACCCGTGTTCTGCTGCTCCCTGCATTGCAAAAAGGGGTCCAGGGGCATGGAGTGCTCGGCATGGTGCAACAAGGAGGTTGCATTTGAGACGCGTTTTACTCCTCATATGTGGTGTCACATTGCTCGCCCAAACGCTGGACTACTCATTTCTTGAGAAATGAGTAGTTGAGTCAACTACTTATTTAAATAAGTAGTTGGGCCAATGGGGAATTGAGTGAGGAGGGCGAGGACTTGGGGCGGAGGCTGACCAGGACGAACACGAATTGGGAAAGAGGTGATGAGGAGGGCGACTGCGAAAATGGGAGGAGGAGGAGGAGGGGGAGGAGGAACGGAGGAGGAACGGGAGCGAGAGGAACTACCCATGGGACTTCCGTGCTTTTCCCCACGACGCGAAGATCAAAGCGCCCCTGAGAACCCCCCACCCTCCGCGCGATGATGGTGATTACAGCGATGTGGGCGGCGATCAAGTGGGCAAAAACGGGCAGTCGCTCTCAATTCCTCGTTCCCCTAACACGTAATTGTTTTTTCATGCTTTGCGCAATCGAATAAAATTACGTTGTGGTCATCTTCTGAGATGGCTCAAAAGTCCCCCAAATCTACCGCGTTCGAAAGGTCGCGGGGCGGGGCGATAAATCTGGTTCGTTGGCTTCTATCGGGGCCCCATGTGGGGTACGTCGCCGGCGGGCGGGTCGCTGGGCGGGCCGCGAGCGGGGCGCGACGGATCGTAGGACGACGACGAGCAAAAATAACAACACTGACCCAAAATGCAACAAACCCTTATGACGTGGCCAACGAAGCCGCAAATTCAGCCGCTCGCGGCGGTCGCGGGGCGTGTCGATAAGATAGCGCCTTGGATTTCTATCGAGGTCTCCTGCGAGGCGGGGCGCGGGCGGGCGGGGCGCTGGGCGGGTCGCGCGTGCATTGCGGCGGGGCGCGGGGCGAGGATCGCGAATACCAGTAACAACAACGACAAAATTAAACACCGCATCACTGAAGCCAGACGCGCACCCAGGGACAGTGTAAAGACGTTCGGCCTCGCCAACCAGATCTCTTATCTCTAGGTTTAAGGGTGGTGATGCACGCATAGGAGATGATCTCCAAAAAATAACAGCGGCGCTCCTAAATTCAACCGATCTCACTTAAATAACAAGATATAGGCAACAATAACAAGAGATTTCTCCTAAAAGCTGCTCTTGAATGCTTCGCACCACTTAGATCTAGACTATTCGGCTGCTTCCAGCTGCAGCGGATGGTCGGGGTTGCCAGTAATACCGTTCGGCCAATCACTCTGCTGGTTCGAATTTGGTTTGCGCGCAAGTGCATTGTTACGATGTCTAAGTGGCATGACTGGCAATACTGTCAAAAAACAGTGCTTCAAGTGCAAGAAATGCACTGTCTCAGCGAGGGCTTTTCCGACGACATGGTTTCGTGCTTTTGCCGGCTAGATTTTCTGAACGCCGGGCTGAAAACTAGACTGCGGTCTAGAAAACTGAACTGCTAGGAGGTGGTTTTGCACTTGCCGGGCATCTGTGGCACCAAACAGCCCGCTTTCGCTACCAATCCGGCTACTTCCAACACTTCCGGCTAAGAAACAAAACTTCCACCCGATAAACAACACTTGCAGACGCAATCGGATGATCTGGGGGGGTGGCAGGGCGCAGCGAGGAGGTGGAGAAGAGGGGTGCGGAGCCGCTGAGGATCTGCCGAATGTTCCGTAGGGTTTCCCCATTGATCTCCGAAGGCTCCTAAGGATCTTAGGGTTTACCTTGGGATCCACTAAGGATCCCCATGGATCCCCAGGGTTCGCGAGGGTTCCGATACGGATCCCCAGGGACCCTCAGGTTTCCCCATCGGGTTTCCCTCGCGACCCTTAGGGTTTCCCGAGAAATGGGTACGGAAAGAATGGGTACGATGACCAACAGCATTTCCTGTTCATCTTGAGCAGGACTCGCTGTCCGCGCCGCCGCGGCCTGTGTCCATTTGAGACAGAAGGCCGCCTGCCCAACAGCGGCCGCTATTGGTTTGGGACAACATTTGTTGTTGGGCATTGTACCCATTTTTTCCGAACCCATTCCGGGCGTCCAAAGAAGAGGGTGCGGTGCACGGGCCGGCCCTGCTGAGGTAGGCCGACCCTGCCAGATGAAGCGTGACTTTTTGTGTCTCGGGCCTCGCGACCCAGGCCTTCTCGCATTCCTATGGCAATGCGGCCCTCGCAGGGGCCTCGTGTCCTCTCGCGTGTCCTGTCCAATCAACTCCGGCTGTATGATCCGACCCGCGGTCACGCTGCCGCCCCCCACCGAGAGGCAGTGGCTGCGGCGAGCGTGCTGGCCCTGGGCGCGGCCGACCCGGCGCACGCCTTCACCTACAACGGCAAGGACCCCAGGGCCGCACAGGCAGGAGGTGCGCCGAGGGCACCTCCTGCGCCACCGAGCCCGGCCAGGGCCTTCCTGCGCCCTCTCCTCCCTTGTTCAGCCACGCGCAGCGGGGGGTGGGGGGAGCGGGGAGGGCTCCGCAGACGAAGGCCAGCGCCTCCTAAGAAGCAGCCTCCCTCCACCCCCTTGCTCGTGCCGCCAACTCTTACCTCTTCCCTCCGGGGCAACGATCGGGGGGATAACCGGGCGCGGGCGATATGATAAAGTACCCCCCCTTTCCCCCTCCTCCCCGTCCAGCAGGATTTGATTATGGAGGGGGGCGCGGAGGCCGAACTGTATAATTCACGGGAAAGTTGTGGGGATCGAAGTTGCTATCATATCATGTTGACTAGCAACAGCATCAAAAACGCTGAGCATGGCCATGGTGGTCTCACCACACCAGCTTCCGCAATCACGAGCCAAGTTGTATAGCCACGAGCCTCGAGATCTCTCGAGTCAGCCTTGTGCCGAGCGCCTGCTGGCAAGTTGTATAGCCACGAGCCCCGAGATCTCTCGAGTCAGCCTTGTGCCGAGCGCCTGCTGGCAAGTTGCGTTGCCACGAGCCTCGGGATCTCTCGAGTCAGCCTTGTGCGGAGCGCCCAGGATCACCATCATCATCGTCGTCGTCATCGTCATCATCAGCATTATCCTCATCCCCGGGAAAACTTTTCATTATCCCCGCCAGAACCCCGAACTTTATTATCCCCGGGGGATGATTATCGCCCGGTATCGGTTAGTCACAGGGAGGTGGACGCATCGACCCCCAATCGCCCACTGATCGACGGCCCGATGGCCCCGGCCCGCCCAGGAACGTGCGGACTTGCTCTCGGGGGTCCATCGCCGATCTGTCGGCGATGCGCCGCGGAGTTCCAAGTCCACGTCCCCCCCCCCCCCCCCCCCCAGTCAAGACGCTGAGATAAGGAGCAGCTTGGGCTCGGGAGGGGCTTGATGCTCCTTAGGCCTTACTTAGGTCCTTCCACTGCTTTTCCTCCAGCCCTCCTCGTGAACGAAGGCGGCTTTGGGGCCTGCGAGTGGCCTCGTCCTTCATGTAGCGTTCCTTACCTCAGCGGCCCGACTGTGCACCAGTCCTCCCCTGTCGTTGCCCCGCATCATCCGTCTTCCAGCGGCTCTCTCTCATCACTCCCTCGAACGGGGCTCGGCGGCGCTGGCGGAAAAAGGACGTATAGCATCACGCGTGCTGGAGCCTGGGCCACCATTCGCCCTCCTCCTCGGGGCGATCCAGTGGCCACTCCTTCGATGCGTGGTGGCCTCGCGGCCACCTCGCCCTGCTGCTCCTCCTCCCCGTCCGCCTCCGCTCCCCCCCCCCCTGCCCCCCTCCCCCTCCACCCTTGCGGCCTTCGCCCGGAGAGGAGTACTTCGACGTGTTCTACGGCATCAGCCCTTTGGCCTGGGGCTTCTGCGCCTTCTGCATCTGGATGAAAGGAAAACAGGGACCATGACCAAGATGTCGCGGGATCTTGTCGATGCCGATTTAGGATGATCCAAGAGGTGACGCTGACCAAGATCGACGGTGACCAAGATCGACACGACGTTTCCGCGTCCAGTTTTTGTCGTGGTTCTTGTGTTCCTCCCCTCCAGCATCGTTTTCTATGGGGCCGTCCTGAAGAACGCCGCGCTGAAGTACAACACGCCATACGGCACTACCACCGACCCGAACGCGAAGCCGATCAAGACCAGCGGCTTCAAGGGCAAGGAGGCCGAGAATTCGGAGCCCGCGTTGAACGTGCTGATCAACAAGTAAGTGGACGCGCTGAGCGCCATCCGTCTGTTTCTAGCGGGGTGTTTTTTTCAAAGGCTTGTTGGCGGCTTTACCGGTTTCAGAGCCGTGAACAGCAAGAGTCACCAACATCGTCTCCATCGGTGATCGATTCGTGACAGGCAACATCCTGGCAGGATCACACCGTTGCTGTCTATCATCGCCGCCGTGCGCACTGCCTCTGCCGTCCCCTGCGCCTCGTCCTGGCTCGGGGTGGCGGCAGGCTGTGCCACTGCGAGCGGTTTATCGAATGGCCTTCGGCCCATCCCGCCTCTGTGCCAGGGCTGTGGGTCATACAGTCAGCCCGCATGATAAGAATCGGCATCCTTCCCAGGGGTTCCCTTGCATCCTTGCCACATCCGCACATCCCTTGGCCACTTTCGTCGGCCGCGCCCCGCTCGAAAAGCTTCGAAATGGCCTTCCAAGGCCCTTGCATCCTTATCGTGCGTCCTTATGCTACGGGTTGACTGTGGGCCTCTAGGATGTTCGTTGGGATGTCGCGGGGGGCTTCCGGGCTGTCTCGTGCGGGCCGTTTTGAGGGTCGTTTTGGAGCCTCTTCGGGCGTCTTGGGGGAATATTTGGGGTTTCTTGGGGCCTCTTGGGGGCCTCTTGCGGCCTCCTTGGCGCCTCCTGGGGGCCTCTTGGGACGGAAGATTTTGATTTTCGGTAAGTGTTCCCCCTCCTCTTGGGCCCTCTTGGGCCGTCTTGGACGCTTCTGGGGCCGTCTGGGAGCCATCTTGGGCCGTCTTGGGGCCCTCTTTGGGGCCTCTTTGGCCGTCTTGGGACGGTCGTGGGCCTCTTGGGCCGTCTTGGAGCGCCGGAAGCTCGAATAGTCAGGTCCTCACAAGTGAGAAACCGGAAGAAACTTAACGATGTTGGTTTCTCGGGGCCCTCTTAGGGAGGCTCTTGGGGCTCTTCTTGGGGCGCCTCGAAGATTGCCTGGGCCATCTTGGGGGCATCTTGGGCGTCTTGAAAGGATCGTGCGGCGACTCGGCATCGCTCGGACGTGTGCATTTTTTCTCGGCGAAGACCATCGAGGAGTATTTCGGCCCATCTCGCGAAAAAATGCACGCACGAAATCGAAACATGCTCGGGGAATGGACGTCCGAGCGTTGGAAAGGCGATTGGGGGCCCTCTTGGACCATCTGGGCGGCCTCTTGGGACCCTCTTGGCCCGTCTTGGGGCCCTCGTGGGCCCGAAGCAGTGATGCGGCACCACGCCCTGGCACGCCGCGTGCCCTGGAAGAGTTGGCACTTTTGGGTCCGGGTCCCTCCTAGAATTGTGGAGGACGATCAATGAAGAGCAAGCATGTTGTCAAATAATTTCCAGATGTGTAAAACATGTGTTCAACATGTTTTAAACACGTAAAAAACATGTTTAGAACATTTCCCTGCATTTTGAACACATTTGGGGTCCGGGTCCCTCCTTCACCGAGCGCGTTCCACTACTCGCCAAGTGCATACTCGCAAGTGTCAGAAAAAATATATCTCTGCTTTTGCGAAATTTAGCGTAGATCCCCCGCGGCGGATCCAGGTCATTTGCGAGTAGTTACTTTGCGAGTGGTGGAACTCGCTCGTCTACTCCTAGAGAATCCTGAGGATTGAGGACTGAGGCTCCAGGGGAGCAAGCAAGGGACCTGAGGACAGCCCAGGTCGGGCCTCGAGGGCACGGCGGCGTACTTCACCGCGCGGTGCCGGAAGTGCCGCGCTGCGGTCCCGGAAGCGCAAGATTTGGGCAGCGGGCTGGGTCCGTCGGGGTTCGGCTCCCCCCCCGTTTTAGGGGGCCACTTGCGAACCCCACCCCTACCCCCCACGATTTCCGACGGGGAGGCTGGGGTTCACTTAGTTTTTGATTCAATGATGGGATTGTTAGAGTGTCCATTGTCATGGCATCCACAAGCGCAGTGTACGGTGCGACGCAGAGCCACGCAATATCAAGCCACGCCAGGCCGAGCAGATCAGAGCGACGCGAAGGAGGCCGTGGGGGGGTGAAGCATTCAAGGCAGAGCAGAGCAGAGCAGAGGAAAGCAGAAGATACCACGGCGAGGCAGCGCAGGGTAATCTGGGGCAATGCGGAATAAGCAAGGGTACGCCACGTCAAGGGAAGTAGAGAAGATCAAAGCAACGTAGCGAAAGGCAAGGGTAGGCAAGGTAGTGCAAGGAATTCAGGCTTCAAGCGCAGTGCGAGACCAAGTAGCTAGCTCAAAGCAGAGCAGCGCCCCGCAAAAAGTGCATTGCGAAACTCGCAACCCGACGCAATGCAAACCAAAAAATGCGGCATAATAGAATGCAGCGCAGCACACCCAAAGTAAGGTTTCTCCCAGCAAAGCAAAGCAAATCAGTGCGCCGCCATACAGTGCAAAGCAGTGCATAGCACAGCCAGAAGCGAGCAATGCAATGCACTGCGCCACTACATATCCAAGGAAGTCAATGCCAAGCAAGGCTGCGCAACGTTGTACCATGCGGCGTGCTGATCCCTTTGTATGCAGATTGATTTTAGCATGTTCTAGATTCCAGCTTAGTTGCACAATGATATCCATAATATGCATCAGAGACAACTTGTGAGTGGGGTTCCCCTGTGGCCACTACACTGAATGAGGGGCTCCCGACGGTCCCCTTTGGGGGACGGGGTGTGGCGGGTGCGGACTCCCTCGCCCGCCCCAGCCGCTCTGCCTTCATGCCAGGCCTCCTCCCTCTCCTCCGCGACTGTGGGGTCTAGATGAACGAATGTGTCGAAACGTGTGGGAGCTTCTGGGGTTCTGCCGCATGTAGCATCGCCGATGAAACGCTGCCCCCTTAGACTCCCGCAGCCGCAGCCGCGTCGGCTCCAGGTCGGCTCCTGCCCAGCTCGTCGCGAGAGAGTCCCGGTCGCCGTCGGCCTCGGCCCGTCGGCGCGGGCTGCGCCCCAGGATGGCCCCGAGGTCCCTGCTGCTCCTGGCCCTCCTCTGCGGCGCCGCCGCCGTGCCGCCCGGCCCGATGCGGCAGATGTGCCGCAAGACGTGCGCCAAGAGGATGCGCGCCAAGTACGGCGTGCCCTGCGACACCCTGCAGCACAAGCTCGACACCGGGGAGCACAGGCAGCGGAAGATGGAACGGCGGCAGAGCCCAGGACCTCTCGGAGGTCCGCGCGGGTGCCCTCGGTCGGTGGGCGCGCTCCGCGCGCCGCGGGAGGGGGGGTCCAGCCCCGA